TAAATAAAGATCATTTAAGTTAAACTGTTTATAAATGTCGTTAAAATAATTTTTTGTTTTAGATTTTATATTAAGATATTTGAAAGATTACAAACGAGTTTTTCTATTAATCCAAAGATCCATTAGATTACATTTGTCATCCATCTTAATTGATTCTTCGTTCCTTAGAGAATTAATGTTCTTTCTCATTTTTATTATTTTGCAAGAAAATATTTTTGCATTTTACCTCACCGATAAATCGATAAACGACGTCTTTGCAGATGTAACTACCGTTTTCGTCCAGATTTTTATGAATTCTCACGTGTAATGTTGTCTCCAAACTACCAAACAGAGAAATATTTAAGTTAATGAAAGAATATGCCATTGTTTTAGCAACAAAGCCTCTAACAGATTTTATTTAAATTTACTGTCTTCGACTCTTAAATGCAGCTAAGATTTACTTGTCGATTATCAATTTTGCTTAATCCTTTTTTGAACTCCAATATTTTTCAATTTTATTCATGTTTTATTGTTATAAAATACTAAAATTGTATATTTAGGAATGTAAAATTAGCAAAAACATAATACGTTCTTTGTGATATATATGAGACAGCGCGTAATAGAGAATTAAACGAAGTAGGTTTCTCAATCGCTATTGGTTAAAGAGTAAGAACAGCTAATCAGTTTTTAAATAACAATTTTTACTTTATATCTTACGTATTTCGCTGAGCACGACATATCATTTTATTAATATTCTTGTGTTCTTTATATTGTATTTAAACTATTTTAGTTTTTTTCTAAATAATTTTGCATTATTTTAAAATGTTCAGCAATTATTTATATGCTATATATTATTTATGCAAACTTTTTATAACCCGAGAAAGTCCGTAAAGTAGCTATAAGTGTCAATAGATATTTAAACCAGTTACTACTTTATAAAATTGAATTTATACTTCAAAAAAAAGAAAATAATATAAAAACACTAGAAGTATATAAAACTATAAAACTGCTGCAAAGTATATAATATTAAACAAAGTTTTTTAACATTTTTTCCTCATACACTTTATCGACTATAAGTCTTTCAATACAGTTTCTATAGGTGCAAATATAGAAAAATGTTATTTTGTAAGAAAAATTTCGCGAATTTTAAAATATTATTTATTATATTTGTTAATAAAAAACTCGAGATAATTTCTTAAATTTTTTTATTTACATGAAACAACTTTGTATATACCGTATACATTAATGCATTCTAATTAACATCAAATTAAACAAACATCCTTAACTTTAACTGAGGATGCTCCTCCATAAACTCTTTCGATAAAATAATCCAACATATCACTGATATGTATCTTTTATTATCTTTACTGATACACTCACAAAATCACGAAAAGATTTTTTATATGATCACATATTATACTTCACAGAAAAATATATTAATTCAACACAATATTTAAACTCGAAGATCACAAAGTTTTATATGATTATCAAGAAAAATAAATATAATGGATGACGCCTTCATTCCTTCTTTGCTTTGTATCCCCATGACCCAAAAACGTAACTTTTTTAAATATATCATTAACTTTAGTGTTTATAACGGTTCTAAACACCATCAAAATTTGAATATTATTTTGAGTATTTAACAATTTTTTAGAGGTTTAAGTATTATAAAAATTACTTTTATAAAATCCGAGAATATATTATATATATATTTTTTTTCTTAAATGTGTTTTCTTTTTCTAATTGTCTTCGCTCGTTTTTGGCACGTTTTAAAATACTTTAAATGCTATTATTTTGATAATATTGGATTTTTTAAATGTAATTAAGAACCCAATAAATAGATTAAGTTGGAATGAATATCGCAACCGTGGAAAGCCCTAGAGGACGTGTTGCATTTGCTCAATTTTGCAAGAGGTAATTCTTGTTGTATTCGTTACGATGCTTCGGGTGTTTCTTGTAGAACTGCTAAAGGGCCCCTCGGACGTTCCCTTCTTGGAACAGGAAAGCATTCTCTTGAATGCTCTTCTGAATTTGATGGACATGGCATTGTAAAGGATTGGATTAATAGCACTGTTGATAAACACCATGGTCTTGCTAAACATTAGATACCATAGCTCCATATAACGCTCCTTGGCCAGGGAGTTGTAAACTAACAGCACTCTATAGGGCAGCCACAACGTTGCGAACACGGCCACCACCACAACCAACATCTTTACAACCTGGAACCAAAGAAGAAAATATATGAGTTTGGCACTAAAATATTTATACAGATTTATTTTAAACTTCTGCACACACACAAAATCTCTTGCATAATTTATATTGTATTTGAAAGAGTCAAATTTTTCCAAAAATTACATTATATTTATCGCTAATTAATGTTTTCATAATCACTCACGTATTAATATATGAATATTTTTGTTTAATTGCGAATTTATATACATTAATTCTCAACGGAGAATTATAATGATTATGAATTAGAGACAAATAAATTTTAAATTTCTTGAACTTATTCTCTAATTCTAAACATTATAATTAACAGAACGGATAGGAAATTTTGAGTTTATTTAAATATGATTAACAAACCATTCAAACTAGTTATAAGTTATTCAAATATTTAACTAGAAATTAGCAGTTAACTAATTGTAATCAGCGAAATTAGATTTACTTTAGCCAAAGATAAAAATGTTTACACAAATAGAAGTAACACAATGCAATTTATTTTAATTTTTATCATTGATTGCATCACTTTATTAAGCGATATTCATTTTAAATATTTGATATTTATTTAATTTTAATTAAATTAGGAATAATCCTTCTGGATTATCATTAACTTTTCTTCCATTTATTTAAAGAAAATATTTTTAAATATGATTAATTAATATTGAAGTTATTATCAATATAGAAATTGTCAGGATAAACCTGGATATGAAATTTTATATTATTTTATAATAAATAAATTAAAATAAAATATAAAAGTAATGTTCTCGGAAAAAAATTCGAGTGCGTTAAAAGTCGATAATGCGGAGAAAACAATATAAAACGAATATAATCGAATTTGATTGATAAAAACGTCTATGACGTAATAACGACAGGCGGTATGAGGTAACAATAGCGTGATTGTGATGTGTTTGTATGGCGTAATAATATTCTGTCTGGAACGAAGACAAACAAGCAGAAAAATGACTTAGGCTAATATCTGTATAGCCTATAATATTGGGCATATTCTACCAGTTTCCTTTATTAGTACTTCACTCGATAGAAACGTTATTGGATAAATTAGAATGTAAATGAAAGACTAGGAGTGACGTTAGCTGTTGTTTTTTTTTTATTTATATATTTTCTTTTTTTCTTATTTAGTAGTCAACGCACGTATGACATTATCGAACATCTAATATAGCTCTGAAAATATAGGGAAAAATGTAAACACATCTAAGAAAATCCGCCAAGTTTATTAATTAAACTTCTTCTACAAACAGACGTATTTTTTAAAATAAATTAATTTGTAGAAAATTATTAAGTGAAATGTAAATATTTACAGATTTTTTTGGATTGTGCCAGGGTCAAACGACTTTTCTTACACGCCTATTAGAAGTAGATAAGAGTTAAAAGTAAATTAAAAGTCTGTCTTTCCTATACTTAATGACTACACTCGGAAATAACAGGAAGTCTTCTAATCTTGCCAATTTTCTGACCTTCAGTCTTCTCAGTGTCTTTCAGCTTTACAGTCGAAACCGAAGGATGATGATAATTAATTGGGGAGGTATGTACTGACCACTTTAATTACATTCTTCCTTCTGACGTTTCCTGGCACGATCAAGAATTTTAATAATTTTCTTCTCCTATAATGAATACGTTACAACATTTCCCTTCTTATTAAACTTTCTTCTGTTCCACGTAAAAAAAACTAATTCCTAATGTTTTGTACTGGTACATTAGAAAATAATGATACTTTGCTGATAAATTTGTTATGAGGATGTTATTAAGGGGGGGAATATCTAAAGAAAAATGACAAACAAAAAATAATAATAATATGTTGAATGAAAGAAAATGTAATTCGTTATTATAAATTTCTAGTGGAGGATTTTACAAATTATAAAATGGTTTATAGTGTTGCCATTTTTCTTACTTTCCCTCCTACTTTCATTGTTATACAGAATATCCCAAAACTCGGTTAACCGTGTTGTATGCACGAATGTATATCTTTTGTGTATAACTTCTGTACCGAACAAAGAATATAATTTTTGAACGATTTTTGCAGTTTGTAAGTAATAAAATATTTAAATAAGACCTCAATTTAATTTTTACAATGGTTTAGCTGATTTTTGAACCTTCCCGTGTATCTTATCATTATAAAAAATATGTTATTGAACTCTGTTATTTCGCCGAAAATTTTACACTATAGTTATAATGCATTATATAAATTAATATGGCTTAATTCGTGTTACATTTTCGACTTTTTACTCGAGTTAAACATACTGCTATCTCAGTTATACCGGATGATTGTAATTAAAGTACCACTGTTCGACGTTGTTTAGAGAGATATCTAGCAATCCAAATGTAACCAAATTCGGTATAATAACATTTCGGGACAAGAGGAAGAATTTCCTAATAAATTAGTACCAAAACTCCCCACTACGGCATTTTTGGCGCTGCAAGCAACAAACATTTCATTCGTACAAGACACGCGCTATATCAATATCTTAGCAATGCAGGTGATAGTGCTCAATGTGGTCCCTAGAGTTCGTAGGTATAGTTGTGCCCATTCTGAAGGTGTAAAACCTGAAGGCAATGACAGTAATTGATTTCCGTGATTCCTCTCACATACAGTGTGATTGTGTCTTTCGAGACTGCAGAATTTGTAACGCGTCTTCGATAAACTACAGTTTTTAAGTGTCCCCACAATTAAAACTACATTTTTGTTATTTGCAGTGCCCTAACGACAATTTCGGTACTAAATATTTTACGGAAATGTCTTCTCGTGTCTCGAAATGTTACCATATCGAATTTGATTACATTTGGACTGCTAAATATCTCTCCAGACTGCGTTGAATAGGGGTACAATATAACACTGAGAGACTTACATAAACTATATTGCTTTCGCTTTCATTTGTGTTACATTGTGTCTATCATATATTCCTCTTATATTTACAATGTTCTTACATACATGTTACGTTATTACTTTCCCAGCTGTTATAACATAACACGGGAAAGTATTGTAAGCGTGTCAAATTTCACCCTCCGGGTTTCTTGCAAATCTCGACGCTTTGAGACTTCCTTAACTCAAAAACGTCCAAACACATGGGGAACATTCCGGGATATGTACTGTATGTATTTGTGTTGTCGTCTATTTCATATAATATCTTAGAATAGGATAAAGATTAAGAAGAGAAATTTGGCACGGTAACTCGCATATAAGGAACATCGATGCTATTAAATTTTGGAGTACGGAACTCGATGGTGTGGGGATAGAGAGGGTCATGTGTCGTATCTCGAGTGGGGTCGGACTTAATACAAATTTTACACGTTATTGGCATTTACAATATCTTTAAAAACTCATCTATACCGTCAAAATTAAGTCTGTTTGTCTTTTTATAATAATTTATATAAAAATTCTTTCTTAATAACATCTCGTAACAAGATGGCTCCACATATAATGGAGATTAAGAGCCTTTGCTAGCTTTTACTTTACCGGCTGTTATGTATGCATTGTATGCATAACAAGGAAAAGTATGGGAAGCGTGTCAAATGTACCCTCCGAGTTTTTTGCAAATCTCCATGGTTTTGAGATCTCCTGAACCCAAATGTCAATACAAAGGCAAAAATTTTCTAAGGATGTATGTGTGTGTACGTATGTGTGTTGGTGTCTATTTTGTAATATCTCAAGATGGGGTAAAAATTAAGAAATGGAATTTGACATAATAGCTTGCGTATAAGGGGCATTGATGATATTAAATTTTGGTGGTAGAAGGTCGAGAGAGTGGGGAGATAGAGGGGAGTCATGTATCTAGAGAGGGGTAGGACTTAATGATTTTATTTGTTATTAACATTTACACACTTTTTTTTATAAAACTCATCACTACCCTCAAAATTAAGTCTTTTGCCATTTTATAGTAATTAAAAATATAACAACTTTTTATAGCAAGATGTCATAACAGATGGCGCCATACACAATTTTATTTATTTTGCTTAATAGTATAAAAGTTATATTTTTTAAAAAAATAAAAACTTATAACAGCCGGGAAAGTTACGCAATTCGTTTCTGGATTTTTTGTCTTTGTACACTTATACAAAGATTGCTACATACATTTTGCAGACTTTTGCCCTTTTTTGTGTAGGCTAATCTTTTATTCGGAATAAGCAAAATATATTTTGATAATTATAAAGCCGTAAGAAAAAGTGATTTCCGAGAGACTTCAATTAATAACACCTTTCTTAAGCAGAATTTTTAAACAAAACCGAAGATTAATAAATTTATAAAAGTTAGTGATAAATTTTGTTAAAATGTAGAGAAATTATCGATTATATTTCTCATGATTTATCTTTCTACTTACATCTTCAATCATTTTCTCTCGATAATTTTCGTAACTCAAACACACTCTACTTATTAAGCGATCATTTACTAGAAATTTCGTGATGTTCTTTCTTACTAGCCATTTTCTGATAACAAATTGAGAAAACGTCTTTCTTTAAACATTTTTAAGATGTTTTGATCTACAAAGACTTATGCTCTTCACCTAAATAAATTGAATTTGGTGATAACAATTCCACTAATTGCGTTTCTAATTTATTGTCGTCTAATCACTAACAACTGCATTCACGACAATCTCATTTCTATTCGAAACTTTACAAGATTCCACAGATCTTATTTACATCCAGTCAAACAAATTTAATTATAAATTAGATTTAGAAGCTTTCTCTACGCAATTCTGTCAACTTAACATAATTATAATATCAGATTTTAAGGGATGAATACGCTCTTTTTACATCCCTTTCTATCGTAAACTTTCGCGTGATCCATTAACAAGCAAATCTTAAATTGTTTTAACTTTATTTATTCATTTACACAAATAAATTAATTAAATAAAATTTTTAAAAAGCGTTGGGAAGTTTATTTTCCTAAATATAACAATGCCGAAGTAATTGCTTTTAATCACGTGACATGTTTGTTAACGTATTGCGAATTGTTAAACTTTAAACTGTATTTTTCATTTGATTGGTT